TCCGTTTCATTGTTGTCCTCAAACCAATTGGTGCTCTCAATGAAACGACTTATATCCGTTATGCGTTTTGTGCCTGATGGGTTCCAAGAATTTTGTGTCGGGTTTGTGATAGAGCTGGACATTCACAGAGAAAATGGAAAACCCTTTCCGTATTTGCTTCTGCTGTGATAATGTGTATCGTTATAACGAAGGCCCATTTTTAGCGCATGGTCTCCAAAAGGGCCGTGCCCCGTTATGGTATCTTTTAGTCTGTATAGTCTTTTTCTTGACCTAGCTGGCTATGCAAGTAATCAATTCGACTCTAACCTCTTAATTTCCTTATTCTAATAGCAGAAGTATTGTATATTAAGCGTCTCGGTCGGACTTGGCTTAATAGCCCCTGTACAAGCTACGGAATACAAACCGTTTAATTTTCTAATATTATAATGTCTATTTAATGCTGGTCACCAAACTAGTGCCCCATGAGATAGAATTAGTCTAATGACAGCGGTATACATTAGAGCGGGTAGATTTTTTTCTATACAACCGGTTATTCAGAAAAGACAGACGACGTTTTTCTTGTCTTGGCGAGTTTTAGTTGAGATATATGTATATATTTAACAAAAAGAATTATTATGAAAATACACTTAAATCTTATTTTATGCTTTTTTGTATGGGAGATATATATTATATTATATTTGTCCGATTTTCTTTATTTTTACTGTCACTGTTAAGTATGTATTAGAGGACTATTCTGTATACTAGGAAAATCTGAATAATTGGTTGTTTGGGAGATATGTGATATAGTTGTCCGATTTTGTTTAATTTCACTGTCATTGCTAAGTATGTATGTATTAGAAAACAGTTCTGCAAAATAATGTGCTCTTAGCTTTTTAATTAAAGGCAGGCAACCGGAAAATAAAATAACTGAATAATCAGTTGTATGGGTGATATGTGATAAATATTTGTCCGATCTAGCCGATTCCGACAAATGATCAATAGAATATCAAAATGCACCTATGCATTGAAATTTATTCGGATATCTGAAAAAATTATGAAGAAATTAAATCTATATTCTCTTAGGCCAAGTTGTTCGGAATGAACCATTAAATATTTCCAACATACGCGATTTTTAAATTTTTTGGCTCCTGTGAATCAACATACTGACTTTCCAATAACGTTAAACACTTTGTCTAGGGCAGTTTCGATTGATCGACCCTTTAAGTCTTTTGTGCTTTCGTGTCTTCTTTCACCTGGTTTTGCTAGGAACACCACTTTGACTATTTTTCAGCTTCTCGGTATGTAAAATAGTTGGATGCTGGCCATATATATATTCTCGACCCTTGAATCCATTCGTTCCTTTAGCTTCTGCATCATTATGGGAATAATCCCATAGTGTATATGATCTTCTTTTTACTTACTATGCGGTCGGATTGGTTTGCTGTATTGGCAAGTAGTTCTGGTTGTACCTCCACTGCGGTTTGCTAATTATCAGGGAAGTTCGTTTTCATGAGTTCGTCTTTAAAAAAGATATTATCATAAGTTCCTTGGCACAAATCTTACTCAGTCTTGTGGATTCTTTGCAGCTTTATAGCGATGTGCAGAAAGATTGCCATGAGTCTGCTTTTGCTTTCCTGACTGCTCTTTTGTACTGCTTTAAGGTGTCTTTGTAAGGCTCCCAAACTTTGGTCCTATACCTTTCATTGAAAGCTTTTCTTAAGTGGGTTCTGAGGTTCTTATGGTTAGCGTTCCACCAAAGAGGCGATTTCCTGTTAATGACGTACATTGGTTGAAAGCGGTGGCTAAGACCTTTTCTAACATATCATCCTCCTTATCTAATCCTTAAACACTATTAGTTTTATTCTATTGTAAAGCATAAACGGATTAAAGTCAAATATCAAATCGGGAACCCCTATACCAGCTTCAAAATCAGCTGGAACGTTGGAAATTACTTTATAATGATGTTAGGTAAGGTCTGACCTATTTCCATTAAGTTTTTAGATTACTAAATTATACTCGAATACATGTTTCGCTACGATATTGTGCCGAACACGAATGCCAGTACAAAACAGAAAACCGAAAATTTATAAGAATGATCCAGACAGCATATCACCACAGGTGTCCTCTCGGTTGGAAAAGCAGGAGGCGTGTATATTGGTAGTCAAAGATTGTTTCAGCAAATTGTCAGAGGTATATCGAATTCCTTATCAAGGGCGGATAACGACGTGTTCCATAGAATTACGTTTTGGCTAAGAAAGAAATTTCGAACGATGCTTTAATTTAGGAGATGAATAAGAAACTGGGTACTGGGAAAGCACATACTTGTACAACTGCATTACATTCGCAGTCCGATGGGATGGTAGAACGATTTAACAAAACTTGGAAGAAATTTTACGGAAAGTGGTAGTCAAATATCAAAAATATTCTAATACCCGTATATCCTTGGTCCTTATGGCTTATCAGTTGTACATGAAACAACGGAGCATATTCCGGCAAGAGTAAATTTTGATAACGGTTGGTACCGCAAATATATCCAATCACGACGATCAGACTTAGGTAGAGGGCTGGATGATGAAAACGATACCAGAACATAACAGAGTATCGATAATTTGTAATAATCACCCAGGCAACGAAATTTGTAGTCGCCAGGATGTTCGAGTGGCGATGTTTTGGCAACGATCTATCATATAAGGGCTGCTGGATTGTGCAGCAGACACTGCGTCTGCCGTGTAAAGAGCAAATGAGATGCAAGTAAGAAGTTGTAAGCTCGGATAATGAGTAATAAAGCGTTACGCTTAGGGAACTAGAAATAAAGTAAAGTATATAGCCATTGTATTGGGACTTTTGTTTAGCACTTCAGTGATTGAACTGAAGGTTGAGTTAAAGGTAGATGATTTATTGAGAAATCCGTTACAATATCTTACTTATTGACCGATGCATATGGTATAAAGCCAATCGGAAGTTTTTTTATTCATTTTTAGCATCACGATACATAATTTAAAAAAATAACCTCAATGAGTTTCATTAAGCAACGTCTTTGACCGATTATACGGTATAAAGTCAACCGAATGTTTGAAAATATTTATATTAAGTACATGTGCGCTAGGAAAGTATTCATCCCATCTAGTCCATTTTAGGCACAAAGACACATTGAATTTCAGTAAGATAACTCACATATTGACCGGTACATGCGGTTTAAGGTAAACTGGAAGTTCGAAAAACTTTAAATTGGGTGTATGAGAGTAGAGAAAGTATTGACCCGATTTTATAAATTTTTAATATTTATCTGTGCAAGCTTTTATTCCTAGAGCTGTACTGGTGCTTGATTTAAATACTTTAAAGTAAAAGAATCATAAGAAATCAGAAGTTGTCATCTATAGGAAATAGGTGTGGTTGTAATCCGATTTCGGCACAATGTAACATAAGAATAGTCAGAATAATGTTAGGTTTGAAGTTAAGCAAGCAGTTCCCGAGTTATAGGATTTCACCCAAAAAAAGACAAAGCCACACCCTTTTCCCAATTTTGACACCGTTTCATATGAGGCCTATCGAACCATCTTGAGTGTGAAATTTAATGCTTCTGACTTATTTATTTAGTGAGTTATGTACTTTTAGCAGTATTCAGCAGAACTGTTCTATGGGGAGGATTTTAACGGTATTATGTAGCTTAAAAATTATTCGTCTCCGTCTATCTATAATACCAACCTTCGTATTGCACCCTTTTGTACCTGTGCCAAGTTTCATCAGGATTTCAACTCCTGTCGTCATCCTGGTCATATACATATGGTATATACATATAAGTATATGTATAACTCTATATCTATATCGATTAGTTCTAGGAGTTATACACAGCCGTTAGATAAACAAAAATACTTTGTTGCAACATGTTGTGAGAGTATAAAAATATCTCATGTGAATTCAATATTCGATATTCGATAACACCGTAAAAGGATTACAATCATATTTGGCTTCTAAATAATTTATATACTTGTATGATATGAGTCATAGCTGTATTATAGCTGAGGTTATTAATGGACCGATTTTACACATTTTCGTTACCAAACTATAGTATATCCAAGATTATACGTTCGATTAAATTTGCTAAGGTGTGGAAAAATTTCCCTTCCTTGCTAACTACGAGAGTATAAAATGTTTGATTACACCCGAACTTAGCCCTTCCTTTTTTGCGTAATGATTGGTTCAAGAATTCTGTCAAACTTAACTCAATATTTTAATAATTTTCAGATTTTTAAACAAAAGATTGAAACCCACTAGATCTGAAATGAATAGCAAAACTTTTCATTTCAAATAGTTTTTGTTTGCCTCCAAAAAATGTTATTGCACTGTGCAGTATAATATAAATTAAAATATGTGTTTTTAACCTTGTGAGTTTTGACGTTGATATTTGAACATTTCACAAATATCATGGGACTTTTAAATGCTGTAATCCACTCAGATGGAAGGGTGTAAGAAAACAGAAATTATATTGATTTATTCTGCTTAATATTTATACAGAACCGTAATACAATTGACTTTTTTCAAATTATTGCTATTATTTATATTCAGTATTAATGAAAAATTGTTTAATAAAAATGAAATTCTGTTGAGTATTTGTGCACATAACTAGTAAATATGTATGAATGTAACATAATGAATATATGCATAATTATTACCCCCGAAAATGTGATTAAAAAATCCCTTTGAAGTGAGAGGGTGCCAAAAAGTTTTCTAAAACGATTCTGCGTATTTCAGAAAGTATAAAAAGATATAAAGATTTCGACCTACATTCTGCTTCAGCTGTATGTGACATACCGAATCCCTTCATAGAATTCAATGTTAAAAAATACCATCTGTTTCTACCTTCCGTCATTACAATGTTTTCTGCTACTGCTAAAAACCATGTCATTAAGCACGTCTTTCAATTTTGCAATCATAATAAAATTTGCAATCCAATAGTAACAAAATAATATATATTTATACATAATAAATAAATGTCAATTTTTGTTACTAAATGTCCATACATTGTCTTCGGCGGATCACAGAAGTATAACATTTCCATAGTGCATTATGGAAAAGCACAGATATAAAGCACATTTCTACACGTCATATTAAATTTTCAGTTGACTTTTTCATATATTTTCATTGCATCACTGCGAATTGCACTTATTTTGCTAATTCACTTACAGTATATTGACATATATATGTATATATAAAGTATATAGTTATTCAATATGCTTTAATTTGTATACAACAGTTATATGAATATAATTTATTTTTTTACGTAAAATAATTTTTAAATTGACTGCTTTTATTTCTGTAATTGAAATATATAATATTTGAACGCATTTTTTATAAAATAATAACAGTTCACAAGCAAAATCAGGATCATCAAATAGTAACACAACAAGAAACACGCACAACTAAAATCAGACTAAACTGAAAAATTTATGTGTGTGATAGCCAACGAGAGCATACGTCAAGGGACAAGGAGACACGCGAAAATTGTAGGGAACCAAGTTCGCTGAACATATGCTGCCACTTTTTGAAAATGCTTTCCAAAAAAACTAAGTACATAATTTAAAACTAAGTAATAATTAGACAACAATCCTGTATATCTTAAAAAAAAATAACAGAACTAAAAATAGGCGAAAAATAAAAACATTATTTTTTTGTTTCGAAAATTCCAATATTTCTGTTATATTCTGAATTCATGCGGCAACGCAAATAACTTAAAAAAACAATAACAGAGCGAGCTAAAAATTATAGCACTCTCGCTGAACTCATCGCCGAGTGTAATTTCAGTTATATGGTATACATATATACGCTTTTCTCAATATGAACCATGTGCAGGATATCATTGTGGGTGTGATTATTTACTTTCTCAGTACGGTTGTTGTCGTATTTAATAGCTACTTTCGCGAATATCTACCTATAAATTTGTATAGTTCACTCGCAGGAAATGCATATATGTATGTATTTAAATAAAAACGTAGTATGGGTAACCATAGACGTATCTATGTAAATAATATAAAAAATATTCAAGCGTAACCCTGCTAGCTTAACAATTAGAAATTGGTATCTGTAATTCAATAAAACACGTAAACATCCCACATTTATTAACCGATATAGTGAACTGGTAATAACCGGCCAAATTTCAGGATGAAAAGTAGTATATAACTAGTCGATTTGACTTCAGATACTTATATATATGTGTATATAGATAATTCTAGTTTGCAATACACATATTGATAAGAAGTATATATGAATGTGAATATATCTGTGTAGTATTAATCGAAAGGCAGGTGGTGCCTTAAAAGAATTATTGGCCTAATTTAAATGGCAATGAAAATATTGGTTCTCATTTTTATTATACATAAAGAAAACTTATACACATGCCTCTGTTCATATACATAGTACATATAACTTTATATACGCTTAAACATGCTGCACGCAAGGACTTTTAATATTATGTGCTTCCTTGCATGAGTTGCGTTTACATATATTCGTCTTTAATCCTTAACTATTAGACGGCTAATAAAATGGTACGAAATATGGATATTTACGTGTCAAGTCAGTAAAAAGAAGAAAGTTGTTTTTTTAGAAGTTATTTTGTGTAGTTCACATTCACAAATATACCAATGCATATACATATTTATTTACAATTATATATTACTATGGAAGTAAAGTCACATATTGCTTACATATAAAATAAGACTAATGGCACAAACAGTCACCGACGCAAAACCGTGGACCGAATCAGCTGATACGACCTATCTTATGAGAGCGCAATGTAAATGATCAGTCACCACCGCTTCTACCGTCCGCTTCAACAGACCGTACGGTAGGATATCCGTGAAAATTAGATTTTTTCCAGTGAGCTGCGAGTGAGAGAGCAATCTCTTACAACGCAGGGTTGTAGTAATTAAAAAATTAACTTGAATATATTTGAAATATTCTTAAAATAACTTTAAATCACAGTCGGATACACTTATTTATAAATAGGTAAACTATTTTTAATAGTTGGATTTTAGCTTTAAGCTTTACTTAATGAAAAATTATTGACAAGTAAGGAAGACTAAGTTCGAATATAACCGAACATTTGTGGGTATCGCAAAGTTAAATGGTATAGTGTTTGAGATTTCTTTATATATGTTAATAATGAGAAGTAGGAAATGTTGCCTCCGTTATTTACATTCACAGTGGAATTAATTAGAGCAATCTGTTAACTAAATTTACTCAAATTATGCGAAATCGTTCTTGTGTTTTTTGTATACGCTTATAATTGATTGTATATACAAAAGAATGCATTACAACTGTATTGAGGAGTATCAAAAGAAATCGTTTTTGGACAATGAGTAACATTTTTTATATATCATTTATTATATCGATATTATTATACATATTTAGCTTAAAAATTATAAATAAACTTTAAAGATTATGTTATTATATAAATTTGTATATAATATTTCTTTTCTATTAATTAATTTCGTAATTTATTAATTTATGTCATATACTTATACAATAATGTCTTATATAACAACAAATTATGCATATAATTTATAATTTCTTAATTACATTATTTACATATTTTTCTTAAAATTGCCTTAAAAACTACTGTCAAAATTCTTATACCATTCTAACTCGATTATATTTGAAAAAAAAAATGAAGAACTATTGCACTAAGTCTGAAAACTTTAGTTCGAAATAGAGACACAAATACTGTCATGATAGTTGTGTACTGTCTCAAAAAAAATTGCATTAACATGGGAAGGATCTATGTTTGAAAATGCCTAATCAATTTGTGTACCGGCAGGTATAGTTGAATATTCTACCGGCAGGGAACTAAAGTTTTTTTCTTGGAGCAGATTTCCTATAGTAGTCCCTGTAGATATTATACAAAGTGGGGACTTCCTGAAGTTCTACAATTAAATGTCTGATAGAGAAAGCAGAATTTCTGTATAGAATCAGAATATTAATACTGAAACATTTAAACAAAACCGCTTTTAAAACTTTGCGGCCTAAATAAATTTACTTTACTTAGCCTTTGATTCAATAGAGCTTTGCATATATTATAATGTCCCGTTTATTTCTGTTGCTTGTTTCCGTGCTCGTTAATTGTATTAAGTAAATCTTGGCATATCAAAAATTTCGCAAGGATAACTCCAAGTTTCTACAAAACATAAAATATCTGAAGATAGCATCAAACAGTCGCTTTTTGCATCATTAATGTGAGCGTGAAGACTCTGAACATTATGGAATAAAATTTGATGTCCTGATTTTCGCGAAATCATAAAATTGAGACTTGTTGTCAGAGCTTAATTTGTGTTCAATTTCCTCAGTTCCCTAAATACCAGGATCCGATTCAGAAAACTTGTTAGAAGGAATAAAATTTCCTATGGTGAATAAAGAGGAATTTTATCTACAGAATTGTTGGAAAAGAACAATGGACATCAATTTGCATAAGTCGTCCAGCTGCCCCATTAATCACATATTTGGCGGACGTTGTTAGTGTCAATTCATAGGGCAGTCCCTGCATTTCAGAAATTTTTAAAAGTTTAACTCTTTCCTAAATATTGTCATTTTCACTTATACCAGTTTCTTTAACTGAGGCTTTTGCAGTTGAAAGGATAGCTTCAGTTGGGATTCGACTGAGCTGAAGGGCATTGAAATTATTTGTCTCTTCATTGGACCAAAATAAATGTATGGCATGCACGGGAACTTCCTCGAAATTAAGTGCTCGAGTTTCAATGAGTGATATGTCCTCATTTGTCATCATAAAATAGGCGATTTATTTTTAGCTGGTGCATCAAATGAGTCAAGTAGGTTCTTTGCTTAGTGTTTAGACTTTTAACTAAAGAAAATAATTCCTCAACTGGAAATAAAGGGGGTAGTTTAATAAGTGTAATATTGCAATCGGATTCAGTGCCATTATCTGTTGAATCTTCACCATGCAAGTCCAGCAAATTTATATTTGGGTTTATTTCTGGAAGTGCCAACACTCTGAACTCATTTTCCACGATAGTTAGTTCATTTTGAGCACCTTCCCCTAAGTCTATTTCATTATAAAGACTTTGTAGAACATTTTCAAGTTCTCTTTGCTCAAAAGCATCATATTCTCTTTGATTTTCCTCAATTAGAATACGATGTGTTATGCAAGTCTGCTCATTATCGTTTTCAATGAGATCTTGCTGTTCATTCCGACATGGATAAAAGCATTACCACTTCGCGGAAATACTCGACTCTGGTCAAATCTGGGTTAAACCTCCAATATCGAATTATACAAGGTTTAGTTCGTTTTTTAAAAAACCGCTACCGTCTTTAAGAGGCATGACAACCCCGCTTTCTGGTATTATCGGCTATCCTCTCTATTTCTTCATGATCACTGTCTTGTGCTCTTCTACTAGATTTAAAATATTTATACTTGTACCTAGATGCAAAATCAGCTAAACAAAGAGTTTCTAACTGATCGGATCTTTGAACATAACGGTCTAGAATACCGGCTACGAATATTTCAATCGAACCGGAAGGAAGGTTCTGAAGTTCCGCTCTGGGTCTATTCGAACACGTTCCTCAGGTCGAGAGGTATTTATAAATATTTCTGCATTACTTGCTTCCGAAATATGGAGCCCAATACAGCAATATACTGCTTCTTGTGCAGATATTTCTGTGCCTGATATAAACTTGTGACCTATATGTTTAAGTTTTTGCTTAACAGTATAATTTTCAGCATTTACCTCTGATATAGCTTCATTTAAGAGCCTAGAAATTCCTCTGTTAGACTTGTTAATGTAATTAATTATATATGAACAGCAAGCACATGCATCCAGTATATATTGGATATCCATATTTGCACTATGGAGTTCCAAAATCAGAGGATTATAAGCGTTTATAAAACGATCCTGTAATTTTCTTTTTGGAAAAATTTTGGGTTTTGTTAAACTTGACCTAAGGGCTAACAAATAGTCATCAAAAGACATATTTATTCTACTATCAGACAGGAAGTGTTCTAAATCGTTTAAATTAGAAATATCTTCTGTAGTCATATTTGAATTTAAAACGTTTTGAATTTTGAAAAAGTTTTCCTTGTGTCTTTCTGAATTTTGACTTGTTTCTGTAAGAGGTAACAGTATTTGCGTTGAAGGCATTGGTGGATATGGTATACCAAAACGACAAAACTGTTGTCCTCTTATTTCCCTAGTACAAGACCGACTGTGGTTATGCTTTTGATAACCCAAATAATTTTCTAAGTGGCTGATCGAACCATCGGTAGAAATATAATTGTCAATAAAACTAATGACATCAGGGAATGTCTGAGGATCTTGAAGGTTGAGAATTATTAAGCCAATACATGCCATGTACATGCGGGGAACCTCTCTGTTGAAACTCCACTCTCCAGTAGAAATTTGTGACAAAATGCATTCCAAAAATTCCGGCTTTATTTTTAAAAAGCTTAAGAATTTGTCAATAGCGGTAGTTAAAATATCTAGCACAAGTTATCGCGTCTGACCGAATTAAGCGATATCTATCTTGGGTTGTTAAACTGTTGGCTTCCTCTTCCGAAATATCTTTAGAATCAACAGTTTTAGAGAGGATGACCAAAAGCTCAACCCACTGAGATTCTGCAGCCGATAAA